TCTCTCTCTCTCTCTCTCTCTCTCTCTCTCTCTCTTCTTCTTCGTCGTGGTCTTCTCTGCAGGTGCGCGCGGCGGCTTCTTCAACCTCCAGGTCCACTATGGCGGACTTCCTCTTCGTTGGCCACTTCGGCTATGGCGCGTTGCTCTCCCTGCGACACACAACGGCACGACGTGCGTGGAACAGCGGGTACTAGCTTCAATACCAATGCAATCAGACTTGCTCTCATTCACACTTCTCACGCATGCAAACATGTGCGCAGCAAACTGGCGACAAGCGCCCACTCAGAACTCAGAGATATGGTAACCGAGAACACAGTTCAGATTCAAGTTCACTTCGATGGCTATGGCAACTCAGCGCCCACACAACTCTCTGTTCGCATACACAGGATCACACTGGATATCCCACACGCGATACTCTGCTCACAAACACACACTCACACTGCACTTTACCTACAGCTATGGAGGCTATGGCCGCTACTACCCTATCGCTATGGCTAACTCCTCTCTCGCCCACTTCGTCTTCGGGCACTCTGCAGACCACCTCGCACAAGTCGCTTGTGGCAGCGCTTCTGCATGGCTCACGCAGGAATGAATGAATGACTGGGTGCTGCCTCTTGATTTATACTTCTGCAGCTCGTTGGTCTGGCACTTTGGCGCTGCCTCTTGATTTATACTTTTGCAGCTCGTTGGTCTGGCCCTTTCCATGCCCGTAGTGCACACAGTCCCATGCGGTACTTGCTTGACTGAACCAGGACTGAATGGGGACTGGGACTGTTGACTCAGCTCAGGTAGACTCCACCACTTGCCCACTTGCCTCAGCCTAAACGTGGGCAACTTCGAAAGGCCACTGCTGGGACCTTCCGGAAGGCCGTAGACTTGGCCTTTCGCTACTGTAGCAGCTACGACCTTGACCTTTCTGGACTGTTGCAGCTACGACCTTGGCCCTTCGAGACAGCTACAGCTACGACTGCTAGACCTGACTGGAACTTCTACTCGACTGGTCTACAGATCGAACCCCTACTACCTATGGACCCTACGACAACCTACCAGCTGTTACAAACACACAGGTCACGGGCTCAACTCTAGGGGTCGACACAGATACTGTACACAGGTAAGGTGGGGACTGGGGATCGAGCCCCGGGATCTGCATCAGCTACTGCGAACTGGTGAATACCGTTTCACGAGTAATGACTATCATTCCGTTTCTCCAAAACTCTTCGGAACCGGTCTTCATAATTGTCCCTCCCTTCAGGGCTCCTTTCCACGGATGCATGCTTCGTGAGGTACCCTCCACCCAGCCTTCCAAGAGCTGCCGAAACGATCTGTTGACGACGTGTTTTGCAATCAGATACCCTTGCAAGATCACCCCGTCTCACAGCCTGCAGAAGCTGCAGAGCATCATGTGCTGCAAGCGCCACACTGAGCAAGTCCAAGCCCTGGCCTAAAGGAGCCACAGCACTGGTATTATGATTCCTGCCTAGAATTTCCCGTACTGCATCACGTTTTCTCACCTCTCTGTCCAGTGCTTTCCGTAGGACATCCCGTTTGCGCATGCCCAAGCCCTGGCCTGAAGGCCCTGAAGGACCCACAATGCTGGTGTTGTGATTTCTGTCCAGTAAGACACATACAACATCCCGTTTCCTGACGTCTCCATCCATCGCTTTGCGTAGGACATCCCGTTTTCGCGTTGCCAACCCCAGCAATCTGACTCTATTGATCAGTTCCATGTTCTGTCTGCGGACGATCGCCAGACAGACTGCTGCTTCCTTCACAACAGATTCGAACTCAGAGACTGTGGGCGCCAGGGCTATAACCTGCTCGGCCCTCATTTTGGTGTTATGTTCGAGCCTCAGATATGATAGCCCACGCAAGGCGCTCCATATCAAGGAGGCCCATGCATTACCCATGAGATTTGTTACTGAAGCCATGACCAAATCAGCGCAGTCAATTATGCCTGAAACAGGAGGTCTGGCAAAATTCACAGTAGTGGCGGCTGCACCCACGTATGTGTGTTTCACAATTCCCCACCAAGTGCTGTAGTAGTCTGTCAAATGACATTCACCATTTGCCGACCACTCCAGCCTGATTCTATCCAGCCCACCACTCCTCCTCAGGGACTCGTCCACTTTCTGATTTGCCTCAGCGTATGCAGCCCACACGTCCCCCGATGGGCGAGTAACTGCACTAGAGTCAACGCTTGCCACTGACATCCGAACAAGTGCCCCCACAAACCAATTGCAATGCGAACCGAAATGCCTCTGAGTCAGCTTGGACGACACTTGCAAATCGGTCTTGCTTATGTCCTGAACATGACCATTGCTGGCTGCTTTCAAGTGCCATTTCAAGGCCTCAGCTTGAAAATTAATGCTAACATCAGATCCAGTAGAGACCGGTCCTGATGGAGAAGAAGCAGCACTTAGTACAACCTCCCCTCTCCCTGTGCTGCCAGCTTCGTTCCTGGATTGTTCTTCAAGATGTAATCCGAGTGCTACCTGGGCAAAGAAGTAGCCATTCTCCGCAGCTTTTCGAAGATACGCTACGCCCTGCTGCTCGTTGCCATCATGATCCGTTGGCCAGTCAAGCTCTCCGTGCAACATTGCAATGCCTGCCAATGTCTCAGCTTCTTCACAACCCTGCCAGGCTCCCCTTTCCAGCCACTCCTGTGCTTTTGTTGCAGATCTCTTCACACCTACTCCTTCCACATAGCATATACTCAGCACTACCTTCGCCAATGGGTGATCCTTCTCTGCAGCTGCACTAATAAACTGGACTCCTGTGGGTGGGTCTTTTTTAAATCGATACAAGCCTTGCAGATGGTAAAGGCCCAGAAAGAAATTGCTGCTTGGACATCCCCACTGCTCTGCCAGCTCAAGCGCAAGCTTACGGCCCTCGCTCCAGTGGGGAACGGTAAGGGCGCTCCAGTGGGGTTCATTACCATTCCGAATGTAGAATTGGCTCAACAAGAACTTGGCCTCCTTTGCATACTTTGATGCACAGACAATCTCCTTGTGTAGGAAGTTGGCCACGTCCACTGGTCTTCTCCGCTGATGAATGTATAACTCTGCCAGGGCAAGAGCTGCTCCCTCTGTCCCCTTCGACACTGCCTGCTCTAGCTCTCTCTCTGCAGTATACCGCACATTAGCCTCTGTGTCTCCTGCAGCCAGGATGCAGCGATTGAGGAGCACCCACACTCTTTTATCTCCCCTCTCACTTGCACATTGAAAATAATTTTCCGCTGCCTTCAAATCAATCCGCATCTTCCCGGGAACACCATAGTAGTGCCGCAACCCAAGACTTGTAATCTGTGCTGCCTGGAGCGAAAACGACAATGTGGCAGTACTGTCACACGCTGCAGCACATGCACCAGTATCCCAAAAGGATGGTCTAGCTGCCCCACAAAAGAATCGTTCAGGTCCTCGACTGCATGGCATTGCCGCTGCTTCATCAGGCAAGGGGTTATTCAACGCTCTTGGTCCTGAATATGATCCATTTGCCAGATTCTGCCAGTATGCAGGCAAACATTCTCCTCTGCCAGGCGGCATTTCCAATATGTGACTTTTGATGGCAGGCGGGAAAAAGTTGACCATGATACTCCTCGGGCGCAGGCCCACTAGCAAAGGGGATTGGATTAAGCTCCAGCCACTCTGAATGTGTTTACCCAGAGATGCAGAAAGGAAGATCAATTGCTGTTTTTGCATGCCCCCACAAATGCGTCCACATTCACTGACAGGCGTTTGAGTGCATGCTCTTTGCTAGTGGGACCTCACCCCTGGTGTTGAGGGCCCAGAAAATCCAGCAGTCGGCTGGTTCGCCCTTCTGGACTTCAAGCCCTGGGCCTGCTGGGCAACAATCATAGTAATACCATCTTATTGGCTCTCGAACAAACACCAGCTGCATGACAGAGAACCCCACCTGATGAGTCCACATCAGATCGGAGCAGATGCATGCCAAAGCACCCCCTCACCCAACCCCATCCCTTTGTTGTACTTTACTTGTCAAGCCTCCATCAGGGTCTACTGCTGGGGGTGATATGAGCACGTCCAACAGACTCAGCAGTAATCCTTCGTAGAGGGCTCTGTTGTATTAGCGGGTACTACGCGCATCTCCTGCTGGAATAGGGGTCCAGTAAATCACTATGCACAGTCCCATCCCTTAGCTTGTCAGCACAGTCATAAAAATACCATCTTATTGGCTCTAGAACAAGCAGCAGCAGCATGATCAAGAACCCCACATGACCATTCAAAGCAGATCAGAGTACATGCAGATGAGAGCACACACACATCAGAGCACACCCTCACGCAACCCCATCCCTTAGCTGGCCAGCATTGCTTCATCGTGTATGAATAATTCTTCTCATCTCCCAGGAATAAAGAACGCAGCAGGTTTTGAGTTTGAACGGACAAGAAAAACACGAAATGGCACTGCGGAAACAGGCGCAGTTCGAAAAGGCAAAAGAAAAAGGACCAAGCGGTAGTATCAGGCCCCCAGTTCGAAAAAGTGGTGATGTCAGGCCCGACGCGGTCCCAGGCCGTCCCGTCCAGTCCTGAGGTGTCCCAGGCCGTTCCAGTTTGTCCTGGGACGTCCCAGGCCGTCTCTGCCCATTTACCCCTTGGTCCTATGCAATCCACCGGACGGAATTCGAAATCGGGAGGGGAATCCTCCGGTGCAGATAGGCGACCTCCGTTGGAATCTCCCGCCCGTGGAGCAATCTTCGAGTCGCTGCCGCTGGAGCAAGGCGCACCATGTCGAAGGTGGGCGCCATAGCGCCTCCTCCTCCTCCTATGCCCGTCACCTATTCTCAAACTTAAAGAAAGAAAAAAAAAAAAAAAAAAAGGATTTTCGGTTAGTAATTGAATGCACGTGTGCATGGAGAGTGAAAAGGGGGGGAAACCCAAGTAAGCAAAAGCACAGAAGAACGCACAGCACAGGAATATCCGTTTATTTTTAACTTCTTTTTATCCGTTAAAATGGGAACGATCATTAAAAAGAAGATTAGCAGGGATTAAAAAGGGGCAATAAAAGGCACAGCGCAGGAAAGTGCGTAAAATGACCTCAATCGTCTCAAAGATGGAGAGAGTACAGGAAAGCGGACAGGAGTATCTCCATGGTCACGTACTATGAGATTTACCGAGGGCAGGAAGCGGCAAACAGAGTCCGAGAAGCAAACGGTGGGGGAAGAGAGCAAAAGAGGAAGAAAATAAATGGTGTGGCAGTGGTGAGAACATTACCAGGAGAACACTTTGAAGGCCTGATCGACCGCCTTTTGACCTGCCGGCCAATTTTCAGGAGTCGCGAGTGCTGCTCTCTCTCTCTCTCTCTCTCTCTCTCTCTCTCTCTCTCTCTCTCTCTCTCTGTGTGTGTGTGTGTGTGTGTGTGTGAGAATAACGCACTGTCCCTCCCTCCTCCCTTCCCCTCTCTCTCTCTCTCTCTCTCTCTCTCTCTCTG